AGGTCATTTAAATCCTAAGCAAGATTAACTCCAAAGTAGAAGAGAGATCATTTAAATCCTAAGCAAGATTAACTCCAAAGTAGAAGAGAGATCATTTAAATCCTAAGCAAGATTGCGTTCACAGATAGGAGAGAGATCATTTAAATCATAAGCAAGATTACCTCCACAGACAGAAGAGAGATCATTTAAATTTCAAGCAAGATTACCTCCACAGATAGGAGAGAGATCATTTAAATCCCAAGTCAGATTACCTCCACAGACAGGAGAGAGATCATTTAAATCCAATGCAAGATTACCTCCATAGACAGGAGAGATGATCTTCTAAATACCAAACAAGATTACCTCCACAGATAGGAAAGAGATCATTCACATCCCAAGCAAGATTACCTCCACAGATAGGAGAGAGATCATTTAAATCGTAACCAAGATTACCTTCACAGATAGGAGAGAGATCATTTAAATTCAAAGCAAGATTACCTCCATAGACAGGAGAGATGGTCTTCTAAATACCAAACAAGGTCACCTCCACAGATAGGAGAGAGATCATTTACATCCCAAGCAAGATTACCTCCAAAGATAGGAGAGAGATCATTTAAATTCTAAGCAAGGATACCTCCAAAGTAGAGAGATCATTTAAATCCTAAGCAAGATTAACTCCAAAGTATAAGAGAGATCATATAAATCCTAAGCAAGATTGCCTTCACAGATAGAAGAAAGATCATTTAAATCCTAAGCAAGATTACCTCCAAAGATAGGAGAGAGATCATTTAAATCCAAAGCAAGATTACTTCCATAGACAGGAGAGACGATCTTCTAAATACCAAACACGATTACCTCCACAGATAGGATAGAGATCATTTAAATCCTAAGCCAGATTACCTCCACAGACAGGAGAGAGATCATTTAAATCCAAAGCAAGATTACCTCCATAGACAGGAGCGATGATCTTCTAAATATCAAACAACATTACGTCCACAGATAGGAGAGAGATCATTTAAATCTTAAGCAGCAAGATTACCCCTCACAAACAGGAGAGATGATCTTCTAAATTCCAAACAAGCTTGTCGCTACAGACATAGGGGATGATCTTCCTAATCCCAAACAAAATTACCTTCACAGATAGGAGAGAGATCATTTACATTCTAAGCAAGATTACCCCCACAAACAGGAGAGATGATTTTCTAAATTCCAAATAAGCGTGTCGCTACAGACATAGGGGATGATCTTCTTAATCCCAAGCAAGATTACCTTCACAGACAAGAGTGATGATCGTCTAAATCCTAATCTAGATTGCCTGAGCACATATTGAGACCTTACACAACACGAATTGTGTCAAGCTTTAGTCTAACATTATGTTCTTTTAAAAACAGAACAACAACAAGCTGAACTTGCTTGATTTTGGTGTTGATAAATCATATCGAACAGACATTTTTAATTTCAAGGCTTTTTACTTTTTAAAATATGTTACCAGATTTCACAGATTTAATAGACTGACAGTGATCATCATTACAAATGCAGTGTCATCTTGTATGTTGTTAGTAGCTGTGAACTTCATGCAATCTTGGCATGTTTAAATCCTTTTATCCGATCTGTGTGTCTGTTCAGAATTGGCTCATGGCTGTAAACTCAGTACACTTACATGGGCTTCATTAGCTATTGAATCCACTCAAATCAATTGCACTACAGAAGGAATCCTGCTACACAATTATGTGTGATATAAAAACAGAATATATTTGATGACCAAAACTGTCACTATTTTTTAGATAAGAGTATATTATTGACAGCCAGTCAAAATGTTTAGAAGAAAGTACCCAGGCTCCCATCAAGGCACTATCGTTCTTGATGGATATGTTTTTTGCATTACATGCTTTGCACAATGACCTAAAATAGGGGGAGGGAGAAGGTGTCCTATCTTAGACCTGAATGCACTGAATCAGTACATTTTGGCAGATCGTTTCAAAATGGAAACTCATCATCTCCATCCTGGTAACCCTGGTAATAATAATAATAATAATAATAATAATAACTTTATTCGTATTTAGGCCTCCGGCCCATGTACGCAAATAATAATAAATCATTACATTTCTGTCATAGGTTTGAAAATAAAGTATAAAAGATTTGAATTACATTTTCTCTTTAATTTTAAATACATGAAAACAAAATAAAGCAACACTTTCAATATCAGTCGTGTTGTCTGATGCCATTATCTTGTGAAAATCCTGCAAGGTGTTTGCTGCATGGTCCTGGAGAGACTGGGGGAGAAATGTTTGCTTGAATGTGTTGAGTTTTGGGCATTTTAGAAGAAAGTGGAACTCGTCTTCAATTTCAGACAAACATAGATCGCAAATTCTATACTCTCTGGCGATTCCTCTGTGTCTACCGACTTCTAACCCTGGTAATGTATGCCTCTAAAGAAGAATGGGAGCCCACCACATCAACTTGAAAGTTGGGGGAGTTGAACCCATGAAAACAGCACATAAACATGGAAAGGAAGGATGTAAGCTCTCAAGAGGATCCTCGTTCACGTCCTTGGCAAAATCCACATAGAACAAGAAAGTTCTACTCTCCAGCAACAACTTGAAATTAAGCGGCTTACACCTCAATCCTGAGAGGAGATGAGATCCCAAATGCTGGTGGAGGAGGTTTTGATGTTGTGCATTGTGACAAGAATTCAGTTAGTAGATTGTCACCTGGCAGGGGTAAAAACAATATGTGAACAGGGTTTGGCAAACAACACTGATAGGTATCTCATCTTACCCAGCATCCTTTACAGATGTCTGTTTCACCCATATCACATAAGGGTGCGATTACGATATCTTGGTTGACATGGAGTTGTATGCGTTTTCACCATCCCCACTGTTTCATACAGCTACATCTCGAATTAGGCAGTTGTTTCCATTACTCCTGTCACTTCTGATTGCAACATTTGACTTGTGAATTCCACAAACAGAGGAGCAAAATAACATGCCCCGTATTGCCGATCAGTGCACTATATAGGGAAGACACTGCTCTTGTGTTACTATGAAAACAACTAAGCTTGATTTCATGTGGAAAATAAAAAATAGGATTTAATGCAACTCTGATTTTCGCACGAAAAAGAAATTCTCCCAACATATAAGATGAGTCATACATATTATTGATACTTGATAAAAATATTAGATCTGGAGTATGTCGACGATATTCAAGAGTAGGAAAGCTAACATGTTTGCATAAATGTGCATATTAGAGTAGGAGGGCATATGAATTATGTAGTATAAATATCATGAACATGTGTTGGCTGATATTGCGCGTAGTTTATGCTCGCCAATTTGATTGGTCGCCTGAGTTTTACAAATTATATTCCAGATTTTGTTTTCGTACATGACATGGGTTGAGCAAATAACTTATCAATAACTTATATTCTCAATAACTCAATAACTTATATTCTCAATAACTCAATAACTTATATTCTCAATAACTCAATAACTTATATTCTCAATAACTCAATAACTTATATTCTCAATAACTCAATAACTTATATTCTCAATAACTCAATAACTTATATTCTCAATAACTAATAGTAATAGTAATAACTACTGACAATTTTAGTTAAAAATACCAACATCAAGTATTTTGGCATGTCCGGAACCAGATCACGCGTATGTGTTTTCCATTTTCTTCAAACTTGATTGAACGAATTAACCATTACGGGTAGTCGATTTACGTCAGTTAGATTTGTAAATTCAACTCAAAATAGCCAATTGGTGGCCATTTTGATTTTGACAAATTCTCTTCCAGGCATACCTAGATGTACATCATATAATTTTATCAGAGATGGCCGACTGCTGACTATTTTAGTTAAAAACTCCACTAAAATCAGGTATTTTGACACGTCTTGAACCAGATCTTGAACATGAGTTGTTTGATTAATTATATGTAGCTGCATGTGGTCGGCTTCCCATCCTACTTTCGAGGCATCCATTACCAGGGTTACCAGGATGGAGGTGACGAGTTTCCATTTTGAAATGCTGTCTATGTGTTTATGAGTGCCACTACATTCAGTTAATAGGGTAGCAGAATTCTCATAAATACACTGTCCCCTGTAGTGAAATTGATTTAAGTGGATTCATTGGTTGTTGAAGCCCGAGTAATCTACTCCATAACCCCAGTGTGGGTGAGCATGCTGTTCACACTGACAAAACGAGTTACAATCCGGAATCGAAATGTAACGGATATATTCCCTAAATATATTTATTCCATAATACGTTTTTGGAGGATGGAAATTGAAAAACGTGGCAAAAACACACTAGCAGCTTGTGCATAAAAATTAGTTTATTTGTACAATCATGAAGCTATAGTTTCCATGGTAACATTCTTTTGTGTGTCGCAGTACCGTAGTTCAAGATAATCGGCCGAATAGTATTCAACAAATACTACTTTATAACAATTGTAAAAAGAACACGATGTTTAAGCGAAATTTTGTCATTTTTTTAAAAACCTACTTGTTATATAATTCAGGATAGCTAAAAGTACCCAGTCAGTCACGATATAATGTTTCACCATGTGTCACCCACCAACAAATTCAGATATGGCACGTTACTCCACCATAAGAACAACCCATAGTTAAAATCTTTCTAATACTAACAACGTAGCCACTCTTCACTAAATATTCCTTTCTCGAAAAATACACTTATGACCCCGAAATTGTTAAAAATTAAGTACAATTTATTGTGAAATGAATAAATACTGGCTATTTAATTAACGAGTAAGTTCTAAACGATTGGCAATACACCCGTTCGCCCTTTATGCAATGAGAATCACTACTGCTAGATTCGAAATAATTCAGAACAGCCTATTAATAATATAAGTTTTTCTTATAAATAATTGTAAATATTTCTCAATATGACCATATTTGGAAATGAAATTGTTGGCAGTGCGTTGTTATATAAAACTGAATCAATTGTAACCATGTAAAAAACATTGATATACACCATTCTATTGGTTATATTTCCCCTGCTGATTATTTGGATGTACGCAATATTGGCAGTGGTATAAATAACAGACTTTCGAGGAATAGGTGTTGCTGAAAATAGACAACACCGTGGGATATTCTGTTGCAAAATGTAGACATAAATTATATAATTGAAAACGGCTTGTAATATTTAGTGCCCATGTAATATTTAGTGTCCATCGCGGTTGGCGAATTGCAACTAAACGTCGACGCTGCTTTGTCGGGCTTTGTACTTAAATACTATGTCGTGGCAGTGGACTCAGTCGTATGGTTTCAACGATTATAAGCTGGTTATCTGTAGTTTTACATTAAAATATAACATAACAATTTAATTTACAGTTGTTTAGATATGAGACGCATCCAGTGAAAAGAACCTGGCTCTTGGAATTCGGAATACATCGCCTTCCCTGTGTCCAGTGTGCGCGCCCTCTTGGGTTTTTGATGGTAGGCTAGCGGTTGTTTGGTTTGGCATACTTGCTGTTCTGTGGTGTCTAACAATGTGCTGCAAGTAAAACATAAATATCAATAATGTAATTTTGCATATCATTATGTACAAATCTTATACTAGTATGTCACTCCATCTAGGGAGAAGCTATTCTGTGATGTAAATTAGTGTAACGTCAGTGTCGTTACTGTTTTGCCGTTAATACAGGTTTGGCGCTACACAATCGTTTCATAGATTCTTGGATGTTGCTTTCAAGTTCAATTATTTTGTTTAGTTGTCCTTACCTGTGATCTGTTGTTTATTTCTAAATGGAGCTTTGTTTTCGTTAAATTGCTATGCCCACTTACTATATGTGGTAGAGTGAACCCCTCTGCTAGCGATGGCATCTTGTTCGAGTGTCTAACTTGATGGAATGGTATTTTTTTCGGATCTCTAGTTGAACCTAATGGGATTGGGTTTTGCATTGTGAGTGGACGTGACGTGAAGTTGGGCGGTTTTCGAGACGGTTTTGGGGGGACCTTTGGTTTTCCGAACGACCGTGGTGTTACTTGATTGTTGTTCACGGCGACAACGGGTTGCTCATTAACGAGTCTGTCTAACTTCGTGTCCTCTGGATATGACGTACGTTGGTTCTGTAAACGTGAATCTTTGTATGAATCAGACCACTGTATAAACAAAAACAAAAGGATATTAACGTGTGTTATATGACGGAGAGGGCGCACGCTAAGTGAGAAAAAAATGTAGTTGTTCTTGCATTTCGTTCAATAGTACATTTAATACAGTTATTGTTGTTTACATCTAGAAATATAAGTTTACATATAAAGCCACAAATAAAACCACAAACCTTTCGTATTGGTCCATTTATCTTGTGAATTTCAATGCCAGTATCTGGGATAAACGCAGGATTTATTGCTATGCTAGAATTTATTTTTGGATGTTCTTGTCGCAATCTTGACCATTTTATCGAGTCGTTAAATTCTCTTGCTTTTTTTAAATAAATCAGAAACGCCGTGATGCAGACGAAAATCATGCCTGCCGTGGTTCCCATGGAAACAGCCAGTGCAAGAAAATAAACGGTATCTAGAATATAATGAAATAATGTTTTTGTAACAAGAAGTGTTGATAACACCCTTCCCCGGCGAATTTATCACGTGACTGATAATATTTTGTGTACATACGTTCTGTGATCAGGTCGCATTGTCGTCCTGGTCTAGATAACCTCGCCGTCGAAACATCATCATACCCCTCCAGGCAGTCACACGTAAAATCGCCGTTAGCTAGATCAATACAGTCGGCGTTGTCGGAGCAGTCGTTCCCATGACGATTATCACAAGCAGTATCGTTGTAATCTACAAACAAGAAGTGTTCGTAACTATTGATTGCTCGCACAAATACATTAAAGCAGGGTGTTCGTATGCAACGTACACAACACATGTAAATACATTGTTTGATTACAGGAAATTGCAAAGTATGTTGCACGACCACTATCATTGAACCACAGTCCCTGGATTGAACTTACATTTCAACTGAGAAAATAAAAACAAAAGTCAGATTATATTTCAAAAGCAAAGAATATAAATCACTGGTAACCATAATGGTGATTGTATGATGAGAACGCCACCACATGACAAACATCAGAAATTAGGAGCGTTAGCGTGTAATCGGTTATCACGTGATTGGTCTATTAATAAACGATTATCAATAAACATAGCGTAACCTGTTTAGGAGGTCATCATATCATCTACAGGGCACTTCGAAAGATCGCGCTATATCACAAGGATTGAACAGAGTAGGTCGATTTATTAATTCTAAAATCAATTCACACACCCGAGGAAGATCAGTACAATGATCTGTCGTTTATTTGTAGTATTGCATGGCAGCTATCCTCGATGACACAATAGTATTGAGAAGCATCGATGTGTCCTGCCAAACCTTTTGTTTGACAAGTATGTACTGGGCATACCGGAGATAACTATGACTGTCTGAATGGTACAGTCAACACCTGGCGGGTGAATGTAAAGCATACCACCAAGCAATCCGTAATGTGAATAATATGAGGATCATTCCAATTCTTAAAACAGGTTACAGGTCTGTTGATATAAATGTTGACCACCGTCGTCACATTATTTGTTGTGGTTATTCTCACCTTCAACAATAGTTGCGTCTATGTCAATGGTCAACCCACCAACCATTCCATTCCCATTTTTTACTTCACTCTGTAATTTAGTTTTTACATCTTCCATCGTGGTTGACGAAGTGGATGAGAAGTACAAAACAAACCTGGCTCTAATACTCCCAGAGGAGAATCCTAGCACATCGAGTCCATAATAATCACTCGAGTTGTGAAAAACAGCATCCATCTGTAGTGAATAGAAGAAATAGTTGTGGGTATAACAAGGCTTCAAGATTGAATTAGGGACACACAACAGTTGAATACATTACCAACTTGAATGATCACCTAGAACTAAATAAAGTATTTTTTATGTATTCATTTTTGTTTTCAAACTCAGCTGAAAAACTATAATGAGTAATGCTTAGTCACAGAGTTATAATCACTACATGCACATCAGCCAACATCTCATTAAAATATTATTAATTAATTAAGATTAGTAATTTATTTCTCCTTCATCTTACCGCGTTTTCAATTTGTGTTGACGTGTGTTTGAAGAGTGAGGATGTAGGATTATTCAGCTCCTCCAAATATGTAGCCGTATCGCCAGCAATTTCCAGAATTCTCAAGTCACAGATGTATGTGTCTGCATCTTTAAGAACAAATGTGAGAGATTAATAATCAGTGTATAAATATATGAGAATTTGTGAAGATATGAATTCCCATTTTAATTTTAGACTTAATGCATGCCTCTGGTAGGTAGATCTGGATAGTTTAAATTAAAGAACATACTCAATCCTGCTAAACACCAGTAGTGAATCCAACATTACAGACTCACAACTGGCTGCGAGGATTCTTGGCTAATGAAAGGAATCGATTATCCCGAGACTATTCACTGATTACTAATATTTGTTTCCTTTGTAGCTCACTGAAATCACCGGTATTGTCAAACGTGGCATCCAAGACCTCACTAGACAATAACAGTTAGTCATCCATCAGGAAACTTGTCGTTTGGTTAACACATCCAGATTTTCCCACGCCCCTTCTCATTTCATTCACACAGTCTCTATGTGATTAAGAAACTGTTGTTTACTCTCATGGGTGCAAATTTATTTATATCATTGGATAAATTAACAGATAGTCACAGAACAATGCTAGATCGTCTGTGTTGTTTATGTGGTATGGTTGACCCTCGAAGGGCTGTTAACTCATGCAGCACTAACCTGGCTATTCATCGTTTTATGTGTAAATGTAAAACAGATGCGATGAACATAAACAAAACAGTTATTGCAGTTACTTTTCACCAACACATATAGACACATTAAAAATACTTTAACGGATCAATTGTGGTATTAGTAAAGACATAGTCATGTCAGTACTAATACACAAATAATTTGTATGTTGTGTTTAAGAGAAATGAAACAAACAAACAAACATTCAGCAATAAGCCCCTATGGGACATTGTTAGTCAAGTGCTTGCTTTCACAATTATACCATTGCAGTGATGCATTATGGGATATACGTATAGTAATGCTGTTCTGCATATTGTGGCATCGATTTAAAGAAAACCAATTACATTAACAAGTATTTCGATCTATTTTGGAGATTTGCAATGTTAGTTGTAATGTTGGAGAAGGCGCAGGTGTCTTCAATTTCTATGTAAGTTCAGGCACTACAAGCAACTGCGTTCTCATTGTGGCGTTGGGATGCATGGCTTCAGACAACACCGTGACGGTTATCAAGGAGAGATTGGACAATTTTCCATGCGACCTAGCATGATTTAAACATGACAGACATGAATTCTGATGGACGACACTGGGCATACTTGTCTCATCTTCTCCAGGGTATGTATCCTAATCTATTGACTCAGAAATACTAAAATGCCATTGTATTTCGCAAAGATACTCTCTTTATAAACACCATAGTCAATAAATAGCTGAATGTTACATACCTGTGCACGTGCCATTTATATCATAGTAGCTGGGCTTACATTCACACGTATATCCACTGACGTCATTGAGGCAGTAACGGTCGAGCGAACAAAGGTCACCAGCATCCTCACAACCACCTATAGATGATGAAGTGTTAAAAAAAACGCCCTAAATAACTTAGAAGAATGGACGGTATTCATTTGATAAAGAGATGACTAAGAAACTTGGGCGTTGATTTGCACTGTAGACAACAAACAACTACTTTATCTTCCACACTCCAGATGTTTCTTACTTACCACTCATCGACGCTGTTTTATCAATGATATTAATAAGCGTAGACTCTGCTCGAGAAGTAACATCTCTTGTTGTTGTTGTTGTTGTTGTTGTTGTTGTTGTTGTTGTTGTTGTTGTTGTTGAAACAGAACTCTCCTTGTCTGTGGATAAATGTGATGACGAGTCGGAGCTTGTGATGTGAGTTGTTGATATGTGTGAGGTGGATGCTGTTGTAGATGCGGGACTTCTGGTAGTCACTTGAGATAAATTAGTAGGCGATGCAGAAATGCGTTCAGTTGTCGTGGGTGATGTGCCCAAATCTGTCAAGGGATGGGTTGATATTGTTTTTACAGTCGAGGATTTGGTGACAGGGAAAGTGTTGTCACCTGTCGAATATGATATTGACCTGTGTGAAAAACTAGCATCATCTTGTTGATGTTGACGTTGAGTTGATGTTGCAGCTGAAGTTGTCCCATAGGAGACGCTAGGTAAGTTTTCTGTTGAGAACTCAGTGGCTGTTGAGAACCCAGTGGCTGTTGATAACCCAGTGGTTGGCTTTTGGTTGCTTGTAGAACGTATCACTGTATCAGTCACAGTTACGTCAGTGGTGAATAAGGACTGCGATGTCAATATTTGAGTAGATACAGTGTCAGAAGAATCAGGCAACACAACATATGTCGTAATTGTGGCTGGAACACTTTTCTCTGTGGTCTCAGCAGCGGATACTAGCTGTGTTGTAATGTTGTGTGTGGTTGGTGCCCCTGGAAGAAAAAGAAAACATGTACATGTGCCTGAGAATAGAACTACTATTACATCCTTAATATTCATAAAAGGAGTTTTTAGGAAGACCTAAAATGCCTCTTCTGATGGTATATTAGTATGGTTTGAATATGTGTTTGAAGAATTGGAGTTCTAACACTACACTTAGAGTAACACTGTCCACGCGAGTAAACATTTTTCGCGACCTCGAATACGAACAAGTGCAACTTTGCCATGTTATAGCGTGTTGCATTATGGGAAAAAGTTAAAATAGTGGACGTTTCAATAAAACAATCCGGTGCGAGTTTGTTTTTCCAAGTAGAAACTTCTTAAAGGTTGCCCTAAATTTGCTTGAAATATTATTCTAAGTGTAAATGTTCGGCCTATTAATTTTTTAGTATAGTTTCAGTTAGTATGAAAGAGGGAACACAAAATAAAGTCACACTGATATCTTTAAATTAGGTGTTTTCGAATTTACAGAAAAGCACTTTAGCATGATCCAAGTTTGGTTCTCTGTTTGATTTGACCAACAACATCGCATACTTGGAGGGGGGATTATTTAGGGACCCCCCAGTTTATATGACTCAAATAGTGTCCCGATTCTTGGTCGAGCGTGGGCTAATAACAATTGTATTCCTAGTACTAGTATTACTGGTGTTTTAGTATTTTTGTCAACCAATATATTTGATGAGTTTAAGTGTTCAAGTGACATGTAAAGATAAAGATTATCTAAATAATGATTAAAACAACATAAATACATTGGTTGACAACAACATATTTCTTCGGTGAGTAGCAGACACTACACAATAATTTACTTAATTATAGCGCCACTAACGCGCTCGCTGCATTTGCTGGTTGGTTTGAGTATAATTTATATATAAAAGTCTTCAAACATAAATAATGTCTCCTAATTGTTTTTATGGGTGTCGATTTTTGACGATTGACGGTCTTCTAACATATCATCTCCGGTCAGAATACTGTTCATACTCGGTATAAGATAAACTTCCTGTTCCCTTAGCTCCAGTAAATTGAACATGTTCCCTTAGCTCCAGTAAATTGAACCTGTTCCTTAGCTCCAGTAAATTGAACTT